GGGGGCCACATGACCCTAGGCCTTTCCCTCCGTGGAAATCGCTAAACTTGGTGGGCTCTAAATTGGAGAGCTGAGGACCATGTCTGCTAACACCTGGAGAGAGCCCACCTGACAGCAAAAAGCTAAGGTAAAAGCAGCAGAGTCCTGAGACTGAGATTCTTAGTGACTTTATTTGAGCACCTGGATCAAGCTGTTCTGAATTTGGAGTCTAGTCCCAATAAGTCCCTTTTTTGTAAGCTTACACTGGTCAGTTGGCTTTTTGACACTGAGCCACCAAAGGAATGCTTATTAATGGAGGTGGGGGGATGAATTCTGGAGAGGACGTTCTGTTAAGTTTGGCAAAATTTCAGATGTGAAAGTTATAGTTTGTAGGCATGCAGAGAAAGTGGTGCTTACTAGGCACTGCCATGTGCTCAGTAACACAAGCCAGGCCAGACACATTTCTGTGAAAGGATCGCTGAATGGATCTGGAGACTGCTGTAGACACTGTACCTGGATCTTAGCAACACGTTTGGGCGTCCTTGAAAGCTCTTACGGACAAGTAGAGAAAAGCAGGCTAGCTGATAGTGCAGTGGACTAACATCCCACGGTCACCTTAAGAGGCTAATTTACATAACAAAGAATTTAAATAGTGCAGGCAATTCTGCCCATCATTCCACTCAACAGGCATGTGTTCCAGAGTAAGCGATGGCAGATGTGACTAAGTTGGATGGCCTTAACTTCCACCTGCCTATCGTTGTAAACACCTTACTGTGCCAGTGCTGAGTCTAATATGTAAATATGTTTTTCACATAACATGATCCTTAAGCTGACTACATCAGGTGCTCAACAAAAAGAATAGTCTATTCCAATTCTGTATTAAAATGTTATGGGAGATAAGGAGGCAGGAGAGTGCCTTATGAGATTTTCACTTTCTTGACTTTAGAACCTGTAGTTGATTTATAGCAGTTGATCAACTAAATCCAGTTGGTTGGTTATTTTCTAATCTGGCATGAGTGTCTAGAAGTTGTACTGGATAAAGACTAAAAGTCATAAGTCATGCTTCTCAAATTTGTGTGTAACCCAAGCTAGAACATAGAGCTAAAACACTACTTGAAGATGAAGACTCCAAAAGATCACAACAGACTGCAAAGATGGTCCAAAATGAATATGAGAACATTCTATTACAGAGTTCAGTGCCTGGGTTAAAACGCACGCACGCGCGCGCGCGCACAGACACACACACACACACACAAATACTGTTCAAGGACACAATGGTAAGATTTAACATGACTGCAGTTTATATATGCAGAATTCAGTATTGAGTTGTTTAACAATTCCACTGCAAGACTGCCCAGAATTTTGTGTTCAGTGTTGGGTGTCTCCAGGATTGGACAGTGAGGTTGCTGAGGGGTTGCAGACTCCTGCTACAGAGGAACAGCTCAGGGACCATGCTGCTCTTTTTAGCTGAGGAAAGAGACTTTTATAAAGCACAGTAGATATCTCGAAATACTCAAAGGAATCTCACACAGAGGAGGAATGAAACTTATTCAGAGTTGTTCCAGAGGACTAAACAAGCACCGACGTATAGGAGAAGCTAGTGGGAGGTGGATTCAGCCCAGAATGAGACTGCTTTAATGATTAGAGCTGTCCAAATATGGTACACTTTGCCTTTTGCAATCTTCACCGCTTTAAGGCAGGGCTATAGAGGGTTGGGAAGTTGGCTCTGGCCTCTTTCACAAAGTTACTCTCTGCTGGGCCTTTTTTTTTCTGTCTGCCTGGCTTTTTAAACTAGCCTGCCTGCTACTAGCTAATGTCCTCCTTTATCAATTCCTTTGAGGTTTTCAGATCAAATCATCTATCTTTCTGAATTACAGTTTCTCTTCTTTTACCTCTCCCTGTCCTCAATGACGTAACTGCAATCCTTGATGAAAAATAGAGTATTTCTAAAACCCGTTCTTTAACCTTGTTAATGAGAAGCACATGTCGTTCATAAAACAAATTGAGCATAAGTTTATTTCTACCATTGGGAGGCTGGGTTTATGCTAAATTTTGGCAACTTATAAACAAGCATCAGACACCAACGGGTTGAGGAACCAAGTGCATAATTGGTGTGTGATGTAGAAGGGGCCAACCTCGGGCTAAAAATCATACTGCTTCAGGTTAACGGAGTATTCCAACCTCCAATATATAGAAGACTTGCAAAGAACAGTCCAGGAGAGTGATGATGATGTGATTATAGTACCAATGTGCACGTACACATTACTCATCTCCGAGAAACCTATACTACTGCCTGGTTTTTGTTCGAAATCTGACTTTCACAGTCATTCCCATGAGATTAGTTCAGAGGCCCTTGTGTTGATTTCACAAACTGGAAATCAATGAACCTGAGTTCAAGAGAAATTTGCTGAGGCCTTCCGATGGCAAAGCCCTTTGCAAGTCCCTGATACATCATGGATGGTGGGACTCTTTCATTCAAACAGTAGGCATTCAATAAATGATGAGTACACACCAGGGAACTATACTGCGTCCTGAGGACAGACAAGCTAGACGAGCCCCTGTTCTTATGAAGCTTATGACCTAGTACAGGTAGACAGGCAGTAAGCAGCTAAATAAAAACACAATATCAGAGATAAGTGCTGTGAAGAAAAAACAATGTGATAGGGTGACTGGGGAGGGTAGACACTTTGTCAGCCAAGACATCTTTGAGGTGACACACGAGTTGAGATCTGAATGATGAGATGGAACTAGGCACTCAAAGATCTGGGGAAGAGCG